GGGTCAACCAGGAAATTAAAGAAGAATTGAAAAAAATCATGGAAACAAATGATAATGAAAACACAACGGTTCAAAATCTGTGGGACACAGCAAAGGCAGTCCTGGGAGGAAAATATATAGCGATACAAGCCTTTCTCAAGAAACAAGAAAGGTCTCAGGTACACAACCTAAGCCTACACCTAAAGGAGATGGAGAAAGAACAACAAAGAAAGCCTAAACCCAGCAGGAGAAGAGAAATCATAAAGATCAGAGCAGAATTCAATGAAATAGAAACCAAAAAAACAACAGAACAAATCAATGAAACTAGGAGCTGGTTCCTTGAAAGAATTAATAAGATTGATAAACCCCTAGCCAGACTTATCAAAAAGAAAAGAGAAAGGACCCAAATAAATAAAATCATGAATGAAAGAGGAAAAATCACAACCAACACCAAAGAAATACAAACCATTACAAGAACATATTATGAGCAACTATACGCCAGCAAATTTGACAATCTGGAAGAAATGGATGCATTCCTAGAGACATATAAACTACCACAACTGAACCAGGAAGAAATAGAAAACCTGAACAGACCCATAACCAGTAAGGAGATCGAAGCAGTCATCAAATATCTCCCAACAAACAAGAGCCCAGGGCCAGAAGGGTTCCCAGGGGAATTCTACCAAACAGTTAGAGAAGAACTAATTCCTATTCTCCTGAAACTGTTCCAAAAAATAGAAATGGAAGGAAAACTTCCAAACTCATTTTATGAGGCCAGCATCACCTTGATCCCAAAACCAGACAAGGATCCCATCAAAAAAGAGAACTACAGACCAATATCCTTGATGAACACAGATGTGAAAATTCTCACCAAAATACTAGCCAATAGGATTCAACAGTACATTAAAAGGATTATTCACCACGACCAAGTGGGATTTATTCCTGGGCTGCAAGGTTGGTTCCACATCCGCAAATCAATCAATGTGATACAATACATTAATAAAAGAAAGAACAAGAACCATACGATACTCTCCATAGATGCTGAAAAAGCAATTGACAAAGTACAGCATCCCTTCCTGATCAAAACTCTTCAAAGTGTAGGGATAGAGGGCATATACCTCAATATCATCAAAGCCATCTATGAAAAACCCACTGCAAATATCATTCTCAATGGAGAAAAACTGAGAGCATTTCCGCTAAGGTCAGGAACACGGCAGGGATGTCCATTATCACACTGCTATTCAACATAGTACTAGAAGTCCTAGCCTCAGCAATCAGACAACAGAAAGAAATTAAAGGCATCCAAATCGGCAAAGAAGTAGTCAAACTATCACTATCACTCTTCGTAGATGATATGATACTATACGTGGAAAACCCAAAAGACTCCACTCCAAATCTGCTAGAACTTGGACAGGAATTCAGTAAAGTGTCAGGATATAAAATCAATGCACAGAAATCAGTTGCATTTCTCTACACCAACAACAAGACAGAAGAAAGAGAAATTAAGGAATCAATCCCATTTACAATTGCACCCAAAACCATAAGATACCTAGGAATAAACCTAACCCAAGAGGTAAAGAATCTATACTCAGAAAACTATAAAGTACTCATGAAAGGAATTGAGGAAGACACAAAGAAATGGAAACGTCCCATGCTCCTGGATTGGAAGAACAGCTATTGTGAAAATGAATATGCTACCTAAAACAATCTACACATTTAATGCAATCCCTATCAAAGTCCCATCCATTTTTTTCCAAAGAAATGGAACAAATGATCCTAAAATTTGTGTGGAACCAGAAAAGACCTCGAATAGCCAGAGGAATTTTCAAAAAGAAAGCCAAAGTTGGTGGCATCACAATTCCAGACTTCAAGCTCTATTACAAAGTTGTCATCATCAACACAGTATGGTCCTGGAAGAAAAACAGACACATAGATCAATGGAACAGAATAGAGAGCCCAGAAATTAGACCCTCAACTCTATGGTCAACTAATCTTCGACAAAGCAGGAAAGAATGTCCAATGGAAAAAAGACAGCCTCTTCAACAAATGGTGTTGGGAAAATTGGACAGCCACATGCGCGAAAAATGAAACTGGACCATTTCCTTACACCACACACGAAAATGGACTCAAAATGGATGAAGGACCTCAATGTGAGAAAGGAATCCATCAGAATTCTTGGGGAGAACACAGGCAGCAACCTCTTCGACCTCAGCTGCAGCAACTTCTTCCTAGGAACATCGCCAAAGGCAAGGGAAGCAAGGGCAAAAATGAACCATTGGCACTGCATCAAGATCAAAAGCTTTTACATAGCAAAGGAAACAGTTAACAAAACCAAAAGACAACTGACAGAATGGGAGAAAATAGTTGCAAATGACATATCAGATAAAGGGCTGGTATCCAAAATCTATAAAGAACTTATGAAGCTCAACACCCAAAGAACAAAGAATCCAATCAAGAAATGGGCAGAGGACTTAAACAGAAATTTCTGCAAAGAAGACACCCAGATGGTCAACAGACACATGAAAAAATGCTTCACATAACTCGGCATCAGGGAAATACAAATCAAAACCACAATGAGATATCACCTCACACCAGTCAGAATGGCTAAAATTAACAAGTCAGGAAATGACAGATGCTGGTGAGGATGCAGAGATAGGGGAACCCTCCTACACTGTTGGTGGGAATACAAGCTGGTGCAACCACTCTGGAAGACAGCATGTACGTTCCTCAGAAAGTTGAAAATAGAACTACCCTATGACCCAGCAATTGCACTACTGGGTATTTACCCTAAAGATACAAATGTAGTGATCTGAAGGGGCACATTCACCCGAATGTTTATAGCAGCAATGTCCACAATAGCTAAACTATGGAAAGAACCTAGATGTCCATCAACAGATGAATGGATAAAGAAGATGTGGTATATATGTACAATGGAATACTATGGAGTCATCAAAAGACATGAAATCTTGCCATTTGCGACAACGTGGATGGAACTAGAGGATATCATGCTTAGCGAAATAAGTCGATCGGAGAAAGTTAACTATCATATGATGTCCCTGATATGAGGAAGTGGAGATGCAACGTGGTGGGTTTTGGGGGGTAGGAAAGAATAAATCAAACAAGATGGGATCAGGAGGGAGACAAACCATAAGAGACTCTTAATCTCACAAAGCAAATTGAGGTTTGCCGGGGGGGACGGGGGCAGGGAGAAGGTGGTGGGGTTATAAATATTGGGGAGGGTATGTGCTATGGTGATTGCTGTTAAGTGTGTAAAGCTGGCGAGTCACAGACCTGCACCCCTGGGGCTAATAATACATTATATCGTAATTTTTTTTTAAAAAAAAAGCACAATCCAGCTAAAAATCAGCCTTGTTTTTAAATATTTCTTGAATAAATGAAAATAATTTTTCTCTGAAAAAAAAAGAAAGACTACTTGATCACTATGTCTGGTATAAGATATCTATAAATGTCAGTTATAGAGGAATTTGGTGAAATTTTTATTGGTCCCATGGCTTTTAAATCCATTTGCAAAGTTTTACCCCTTTTTTATTATGATGACAATATTACATTCCTATTATTAGTCTTAAATTAAAAACTGCAAACATTTATTCACTCAGAAATGAATGACTATCAATATATCAGAGAACATACAAGCCAATTTTAGTTTAAATATTGCAATATTACCATAATTTTCATAAGAAAATGAAAATTTTCTCACAAGATAGAATTTAAATCAATTATTGACTGACCAGTGATAAATATGGCTATGTTGTTTAATCACAGGCGCAGCAGGAAGGACTTACTCAAAAAATAACATTCTTCTAATCACTGAAAGGGGTAATTGTCCTACAGTATGCTTTCTATGAGGTTGATCATGGGCTTTTTTTTTAAAGGACTCAAAATACCACTTTATTATTTTAATTTAATTTTGTTTATTTTATTTTCAAAATACCACTTTATTTATTAGGTCTCAAAATACCACTTTAATCCTACTAAGTTGCAATTAGGCTAAAAATAAATACAATTATTTTCATGAGTTCATAAGCCAATAAATTTATTTAAATAGTCTCTGAGCATCTAATATATTGGAGATTCTATGCTAAATACTACAAGTGAAATCATTTAAAGCATGAAGTTGAACAGAAATCAAAATGGCTATGCAAAGCAAAATAAGTCAATCAGAGAAAGACAATTATCGTATGATCTCACTGATATGTGGAATTTGAGAAACAAGGCAAGGACCATAGGGGAAGAGAGCTAAAAACGAAACAAGACAAAACCAAAGAGGGAGAAAAACCTTAAGAGACTCTTAATCTCAGGAAACAAACTGAGGGTTGCTGGAGTGGGTGAATGGCAATGGGAGGGATGGGGTGGCTGGGTAATGGTCAGCGGGGAGGGTATGTGCTATGGAAGCACTGTGAACTGTGTAAGACTGATGAATCACAGACCTGTATCACTGAAGCAATACATTATATGTTAATAATAAAAAAGAAATAAAAATGACTACAGTAATGCTTCAGTGAAGCTAGATTGATTTTAAAGTAACCTTTTACAACTCTTCTGCAAACCTCCCCTCCTCCCTTCTTAACCTTTTGTTTCAGGAACCTGTTACCACTCTAAAGACATGACAAAACAGCTGGTAGAAAGTACACAATTCCTATCAAAACTGGCTTGATTTTATATTTCCCTAAACATCCCTATCCCCTTCTTCTAGTGGAACTGCAGTTTTTGAAGGCCATAGCCTGCTGTAGCCTCCTTTGCCTGGGAAGGTAATAAAGCTACTGTTCCTCTTTGCCCACACTCTGTCTTCGAGTTATATGTTTCTGAAGTACAGAGGTAGGTTTTTGACAACATTAAGGATACAAAAATTATTAAGATTCCATCCATATATAACAGAGGTGAGCAGTAAAGACAGTGTACATATAACTATAATAGAATTGAGAATATAAATGCCCTAAGACTAACTAAAGTGAGTGTTCTTGAGGTTCTAAGAGAAAAAGATTATAACAGGTAACAGTTACCTCATCTCCCATCTGTGGGACAAATGGGGAACGTCGTGGTATGGTATCCAAAATCCATTGAGGGGCAAACCATTCTTCATTGGGTTCACCTGCCATAGAAAGCAGTCCTCCTTTCTAAAATATAGTTCACAAATATATAAACCATAAATATATGAATAGTAGTATGAAAAATAACAGAGAATGTTAAAAAAAATCAGGTTATAATAAAACCTAAAATATACAAATTTTAAACATTTCATTTATCAATTAAAATTATGTACAATTTTGTACCAATAAAACAGTCAAGCGAATTCTTTAATATTTGCTCGATTTTGGCTGACAGAAAATAATATGACATTATATACTATGTAAGAACCACAAATTTTCAAGTCCCCAGAATACCATGTGAATTTGAGTATAAGTAACACAGGATCTTTTTGCCAATAAAATGGTGACAAGAAGATAATTCTGTCTACTAAAGCAACAGGATACCTGATACATTGTGCATATGTACAATATGTACATAATAAATTTTTAAAATAATATTTAGATAACTGTGTGGATTAAGTCCTTACCTGAAATTATAGTGAGGAAGAGAAACCATCATTGGGATGAAATAAAAACATATAAAGAAATGGAAGAACTCCTATAAGATTTATTATACCTTTCCATTTTACAAGTCAAAAATGTATAGAAATTTATGACCAGAAACATGACAAGTATAACTTTTTTATACTATAGTAGCTTATTGTTTAAAACTCAACTATATTTTAAAAAGTAATTATCAATATTTTAATTTAACAATAACTAAATAATAATGTAGATATTCTAGCCTCTACTTTTGATAACAGAAAAAATTAAAACATCTTTTTATTTTTAAGTCATTTTAAACAATTTTACTTATTTTCTCAGATGGAATGTTATTTTTAGAGAAAAGTCAAGTGTTACTATTTTTCAAGTGTCAAAGGCAAAAACAAAAACAACAGAAACAACTTATAAATTTACAAACCTTCTTTCTAGTTTGTTTAGTTTTCTTTTGCCTTTCTTCTAGTGACTTCAAGTTCTCCTCCTCTGAGCTGCTGCATATTTTCCGTGTTGTCTGTCTGGTTTGTCTTTTTGGAGGTTGCAAATTTATTCCAGCATCTGCTGTCCAATCAGAATATTCACTTGATGAATCACTATAAATAAATCAAAATTATGAATATATAAGTTTAGGAAAGGAATACTTTTGTCTCCTAATTTAAAGATGATCATTTTGTAATAAAACAGCATTATAAATGACATGACTTGATTTTGTTCTAACTGAACAGAAAAAATATCAATACAGATTTTAGATCATTAAGTGATTTTAGTGAAAACCTTCTTGGATAAAGTATAATGGTTAGTTTCCCATAACAGAATTTAAAATTCAAAATTCCTGTCCAAATAACAAAAGCCTCTTTAAATAAAGATGCCCCTAATCCCTAGAAATGGTTAAATGTAGCTGTTTTAAAACTCAACTAAATAAACATAGCCTGCTAAGATGCAGAATCTTGGATTTACAAAGCATCTTATTTTACAAATGAGGAAACTAAAGACCATAGTGACATGCCCAAAAAGATACCAGTAGAACCAGAATGAAACAAGTCTCTGAATATCCAACCCAGTACTCTTTCTACTATAAAATACTATTTTAACTCTGGTTTTACCAAATTCCTCCTAGAACATAATTTCACATTAAAATGATCAGATAATTTTGACCAAATCAAAACCATTAAAACTACCTGGAAGAACTTTCACTTTGCCATTCAATAACAGGATCCTCTACAGAAGCATCACTTGTGCCAATTGTTTCATCTTCCTGCAACAAGGAGTCAGCAGTTGAGATATATGATTATTAACTAGCATATTATTAATTAGCACATACTACCTATTTTATAACACTTTTTGTATTTCCTCTAACCAAAACAACAATCCAGGTAAAATGAACATAATTAGGGGCGCCTGGCTCAGGAGGTTGAATGTCCGACTCGGTTTTGGCTCAGGTCATGATCTCATGGTGGTGGGATTGAGCTACATGTCAGACTCTGCACCCAGTGGTGAGTCTACTTGAGATTTTCACTCTCCTCTCCCCCTGAACCTTGCCCCACTCTCCCTTTTTCTCTCTCTCTCTCTAATAAATAAATAAATAAATTTTAAAAAATAATCATTTTCCTACATATATCCATAACTCACAATTAAGCCTACCAGGTATTTAAAACCTTCTAACATCTACTATCTTATTGATACGGGACATCTTTTATTACTTCAAAGACTGAACAAACTCTTTAAGGTTCCCAAATATAATCCTCTTAAATATTAAAACCATTGCTTAAAAAAATATATCTGTATGCTTCTGCCAAGTTAATGTAATTACTCTTCATAAAATAATCTTTTTATTATGTAAAATTTCAAACATTTCAAAGTAGAGGGAATAAATTATTCTTGTGTACACAATCTCCAGTATAGACAATAACTCACTGCCTATCATGTTTATCTGTACCATCACCAACTGCCTCATACCCAAGTAATTATTTCAAAGTAAATCCTTACCAAAATAAGCATTTTAAATATAAACATTTAGTAAGATTATGATTCTTTTTAAAAACAAAACCATACCACTATTATGACCTTAGAAAGGAAATAGTCCTCAATACCTGACTATTCCTTTTAGTTCAAGATTTTCACAGGTGAAGGAGAAGAGGAAGGACATCACTGGTAAGAATTAAAGAGCTGTGAATGCTGGAAGAATAATAGGAGGGCCATATATTATCAATGAATAATTAAGCCCACATTATCCACTTAATAATGAAAGTTGTTAAGAGAACAAAAGGAAAGGACTGGAGAAGAGAAGAAAAGAATTGGTAAACTCTATTCTATTACCATGAAAAATGTAGGTCTGAAAAAAGCCATCACTTCATAATCTCCATGACTAATGAAGTCAACAATAACAGAAAATGTGCCTTTCTGCTGATTACACAGTAAACCAGTTCCGGGACTGTAAATTAGTTATTATTGTTTATATTCCACTTCTTATTTATGAGCAGATTTCCTTTCACTCTTTTCTCATTGTCCCAAAGTCAAACTTACTGGCATATTTGATACTCTCAAACAAAATAGTATCTTAGGTATAAATCAGAGAAGATACCTAAAGGAATTCAATGTAATGTTCAAATTTGCCTATTAAATGCCTTACTAATGGAAAATCTTAAAAGAAAATCATTAAAATTAGTTTCTATTAAAATCACTAACAAAAGTAAACCCAAGGTAATGATACTAACTGGTAAACAAAAAATTACACTGACTAAATAATTGCAGATATCTAACCTCTGAGGAGCTGTCTGAGTCTTCCTGTACACCTGAATTTTGACACGATGCTTGTGAATTATGCTCTATGTTGGACCGTGTTTGGTAAGTATGTTGACGTTTGCGCTGTGTCCTCCGTAAAGACCGCCCACAGCTAGGCTGATAATCAGTCTGTAAAACAGAAAGAAAATTTCAAAAATGAAAGGCCTGGAGTGCCTGGGTGGCTCAGATGGTTAAGTGTCTGCCTTTGGCTCAGCTCATAATCTCAGGGTCCTGGGATCCATCCCCATGTTGGGCTCCCTGTTCATTGCAGAGCCTGCTTCTCCCCTTTCTCTGCTATTTTCTCTACTTGTGCTCTCTGGCTCTATCCCTCTCTCAAATAAATAAAATAAAAATCTAAAAAAAAAATGAAAGGCTCAATGAACAAACACAAATATATAAAGCAAATAATTTGGGTGGGGGAGAGGAGAGGGATGGCTGTAATAATTAGGAATAAATCCCCAAAAAGAAAATATAAGATATATCTATATGTATTTCAGCTACTTTCCATTAATATTTATTACTCTCCTATTTCAAAAATTTTGTGTATCAAATTAAAGAGTGTGCTGAAAGTTTGGGCTGCAAGAATGGGCCCACTCAGAATTTACATATACTGTATTACTCACAATTTATTGCAAGATAAAGCAAGATATATATACCATACCTATGTATATATAATCCTTAATATAATATGTACTTCTTTGTTCTTTAAAAAAACTACATTTAATAAACTGATAAAATATTTAACTTTTAACAACTTAAAGCAAAAACTATTTTCTTCTAACCTTTACAAGTATAAAATATTAATGATATTACCTTATGTTAAACTTAAGTAAACAAGTTTAAAAGTCATAAATAAATCAGTAACAAGGACTAGTTTCTTGCCTAGTTTCTTGCCATATGTAAGTATTTCTTATTTTTGATATAAATAAAAATGTTTATAGACCCAACAACCCTGTTTATTATTATTAGTCTCAGACAAGTATGATATTTGAAAAATCAGCTTAGCAGGAGAAAATAATATAAATCATAGATCTGAGTCATTCAAAATGTCCAAGAAAATAACATTAAGAGAGAACATCAAATAAGCTACCAAACCTCAACAGAAATTAAGAAAGTGGGCATCAAAATGATCTAAGGATATTTGAAGATATTCATAAGATACTTACCTAAAATTGTGTTTATCAATACTGAAAAAAAAACATTTAAAATTCAGTGCCCATTGCCTAGATTTCTTTAATAAAATTAAAATCATCCTAGACTCTCCAAATTACCATACTTTTTAGGAGTTACAGTTAGATCTGGGAATAAGAATATACATCGTTATGCAACTACTTTGCTCAATCTCAGAATACTAGTAAGGGGTTTACTATGTACCTAATGAAGTATAGGAATCTGACTCCCTGCCTAGCTGTTTCTACTGGGAATATGAATCTTCCCAACGTATAGATCAAATTGTGCTTCTGTATGATTAGGTAGGCCAAGAGTGGGCCTTTCTGTAAAGGGTCAGAGCGTAAATAGTTTTGGCTCTGCAGGTCATATGATCTCTGTTATAACTACTCAACTCTATAGTGTGAAAGCAGCCATAGATAATATATTAATTAGTAAGTGTGGCTGTGTTCCAATAAAACTTTTATTAACAGGAATAGGCTATAGACTAGATTTAGACCATGCATAGTAGTTTGTCAACCTCTGACCTAGGATATCTAAACATTTATTTTATACTGTGATTAGTGACCAGCCAACAATTTTAAGGTTTTACTCTAACCATATGAAAATGGTATTTTAATACAAATGTTTTATACCTACAATGACCACATGTCCTAAATTTTGGAGGACAGTCCTGACTTTGTGTAATTTTATTTTTATTAATAATTGCCATATATTTCAATTTCAGGTTTAAAAAACAGGTTATCCATACATGTAGTTAGCTAGCAAAATAGCCCCTTAATACATAATTGCTACCTTTGAAAAACCCAGTACCTGCAAATATTTACAAGTAGTGTAACCCAATGGACTGTAAAACTAAACTTACCCTTTGGGTAGTATAAGATGGCTTTTTCTTCTTTTCAACTGTATAAAGACTGATTTCTATGTCACCTTTTGCAGTTCGACATTCTTCCTGAACCCTAGTTAAAGTGACAGAAAATCATAAAAATCAAACCAACAGTCTAAAGGTCAGATAACAAAAATATCTTCAAATGTAAAATTTGCCATTTTAACTATTTTTAGGTGTATGTTAATGACATTTACAAAGTTGTGTAACCACCATCACCACTCTTTCCAAAACTTTTTCATCACTCCAAACTTTGTAACCATTAAGCAGTAACTCTCAATTTCTCCTTCTATCAGTCCTTATTAACCTCTAATCAACTTTGTGTCTCTATAAATTTGCTTTCTCTATATATATCATATAAGTGGAATCATATGCTATGTTTTTACTATTTATCCACGTGAGAGCAGTTATTAGAACTTCATTCTTTTTTTATGACTGAACAATATTCCATTTTATGTATATATCACATTTTGTTTATCCATCCATTTGAGGACAGACACTGGAGTTATTTCTACTGTTCTGGTATTGTGAATAATATAGCAATGAACGTTGGCATACAAGTATCTATTTGACTTCCTTATTTGTACTTTAATGTTTTGAGTAAAGAATTATTTCAAATTCCTCTATTGCTAAGACTTCATAAATTACCTATGTTTCCCTAAGAAAAGGCAAAACTAAATTATGTTTGCTGCCTGTTGGATGAGAGGGTAAAAGGATTGGGAAAGGAAATAGCATTATTAAGAGACTTTTTTTAATCATTTTTTTTATTTGTTTTCAGCATAAGAGTATTCATTGTTTTTTTATGTTCTCTGTCAAATGTCCTTTTTCTTTTCTAAGTCTATTTCCAGCCTATGTGGATTATTTGTTAGGATTTATAAATAAGAATAGGTATTCTAAATTAAAAATTCATCCTAATAAAGTCCTTTCATACAAGGACATCTACTTAAAGGGCATTTCAAAATATGCCTTAAGCACCGGGGTCTACAACACATCTATGCTGCATTCCCAAACTATTCCAATATCAAAGTGATGGCCTTTTTCCTCAGAACCACTGTTGAATTTTGGGTCTATATACCAAGGACATATTTAATAACATATGGTCTCATATTCTTACTTAATAGTATTTGTATTCTTATGTTCTAACCTAGACTATAAACTCATGGAAAACAAACTATGTTTTTCATTTTTCAGTATTTCCCAAACCATTTAGTACAAAGCCAAGTAAATAAAAAATAATCATTAAATAGTTGTTACGGAATGAACTAACTGGAATAATATAGAAAAACTAATACAAAACTCAGCTTGATTAAAATATACCTTAGTTATTAAAATTTCCTAACTAAACAATAAAGTTCTCAATTTTCTTATCAGTGCTATCTTATTGACTCACCTACTAACTCCACTATTTAGTTCATTGACCACCACTCTTCTGCTCCATGCCATGAGATCTCGTTCAGTGGCCATCTGGCTTCGAGGAGCATTGTTATGCATTTGTCGGACACCTTCAATCTGACCACTACGTCGAAGCCCAATATTTGGGGATGAATATATGTCCATATTTGGACTTCTCAGAGCTAAAATAAAAAGAAAGATACCACTTTCTCTGAGTAAAGGCACAAATTTTTAGAGATTAGTACTCCAGAATAGGAGAGTCTAAGATGGTACTTCTAGACAATATTGCTATCCTTTTGTTCTACATTTTCTGTACCACCCTGAATAAAGCAAGGCACTAAATAATTGTTTTAAGTTTCTATCACTCTTTTAAATTTTTTCAAAGTACATTCATACCTGTTATCTAGTAAATACTGAGGAAATACAAAAAGTATATTTAACATGATTTGGTAGATTCACAAATGTTTAATAGTACTATTTCAGAAAGCAGCTTTTAATCTAAATCCTGCATTAAGCCCATGAAAAGGTCTATGAATAAAGTTTCAATAGGCTTTCGAAAGTAGTAATAAGAGAAAAATATATAAGCAAGAAATATTTTTAACTATCAAAATTTCATTTTCAAAACTGGTAAGCAATGAAAGAAAGGGGAAATAAAGTAATGAAACCTTTTTTAAGCATCTAGACATTCTCTGTTAATTTATTTTGTTGTATTTGCAAATAAAATAAAAATGGAAATTACATGAATCACTCAACTTTTAAAATAAGCACTCAGGAAAGACAATAAAAATAAACATTGGAAACAGAAGCCAGTGGGGTCGCTTTTACTATGGCATTTCAAATCTATCAACAGAAATCTAGTATTGAGGGTAGAGCTGAATGTAGATTTCATTAATGAATCTCTAAATCAGGGTTCTAAGAAAATTTTATGTCAAGAAACAAAAAGGGCCTGGTTATGTAGGATTATCAGCTCACTTCTTATTTTGTTCCAGGTTAAGGAAAGCCAATCTGAGTTAGATGCTCCTTGGGTGAACAAAGAATGTTTTTATTTTAATTTTATGGGATACTTAAGAATCAGGAAATGAGTATAATACCTTGTGAATCACGTCTAATTTAAATTGTTTTATTCAACTCTTGGACTCCAAAAGCTATGATACCCAAATAAACCCCAATTATATAAATGTAAAAAGAAACACATCTGCCAAAATCCCTTAAGATGGCATTTTGAAGTACAACTAATAGTTCTTGATAAAAATAAAATTGATGGTGCTCACTTTGGCAGCACTTATATTGAAATGATACAAAGAAGATTAGCATGGCCCGAGGATGACAGGCAAATTCATGAAGTATTCCATTCATTAAAAGAAAAAAGTAAAACTGACAGAAGCTAATATTTATATAAAATTCAGATATATAGGGTACCTGGGTACTTCAGTTGGTTGGGCGTCTGCCTTCAGCTTGGGTCATGATCCTAGAGCCCCAGGATCAAGTCCTGCACTGGGCTCCCTGCTCAGCAAGGGAGTCTGCTTCTCCGTTTGGCCCTCCCACCCCTCGTGCTTTCTCTCTCACTCATTATTTCTCAAATTAATAAATAAAATCTTTAAAAAATTCAGATGTATAGTCACATTTCATGTAAAGTGAAGAAAAGATACAATAAATTAGAATACTGCTAGTATTTAAACTGTTGTGAAAATCAATCCACAAGTTGCATCTGTATTTCCTATGAATAGGGCTTATTTTCCAGTGTATTGTTGTAAATTCAAGAGTTGAAGGAGATAATGTTACTTTTTTTTTTCTTCAACAAAGGTGGATAAATTTTTTCTTAGTTATTTTTACATTGAAGTGGTTTTAATTTTTAAAACATTATAGGCTGGTTCTTCTTCTACAAAAAACATGTACTTACTACAGTACCCATTTATTATAACAAAAGTGAAGACTGAAAATACATTCTTGAGTTAAGAGAAAACAGTATATTAAAATATACCACCCATATTTTGTGAGACACATTAAGACCTTTAGCCACAAATGACAATGAGATCAAGGCATTTCAGTGTATTTGATATCACAATTTTAAATTAATAAAAATGTTCTTATTTAAAAACCTAAAATGTTCCTTACATGTGATTACTTAGTGCAAATAAAATGAATAAACTATATCCATCACATATATACATACTTACCACCATTAGCAGAATATGATCTATTAATTGGAAAATGAGGAACATCTCCTTCATTAATTAGTCTAAGATCTTGTTCTCTCTGTAGCTCCCTGATTATCCCATCAAGAATACTTTCGTCTTGGTCATTGGTTTGTTGTCCAATTACTTGTTCTACCACCTCACCATCACCTTAATGAGACCAAAGATATAAAGCCACAAAATTTTAATATAACCTAAATGGAGTAAAACAATATAGTAAATACAGTAAAAACAACTTTAATCTCTAAGTTTTTAGATAAATACTAAAAATAAGATTAAAATGAAAATAAAACATATATCAAACAGTACTTTTAAATTGTTTTTTAATTTAATTTTTTCAGTGTTCCAAGATTCACTGTTTATGCACCACACATTGCTCCATGCAATATGTGCCCTCCTTAATAGGCACCATGAGGCTCACCCATCCCCCCACCCCCTCCCCCGTAAAACCCTCAGTTTGTTTCTCAGAGTCCAGTCTCTCATGGTTTGTCTCCCCCTCTAATTTCCCCCAATTCACTTTTCCTTTATTTCTCCTAATGTCCTCCATGTTATTCCTTATGGTCCACAAGTAAGTGAAACCATATAATTGACTTTCTCTGCTTGAATTATTTCACATAGCATAATCTCCTCCAGTCCCCTCCATGTTGATACAAAAGTTGGGTATTCATCCTTTCTGATGGCTGAGTAATATTCCATTGTATGTATGGACCATATCTTCTTTATCCATTTGTCTGTTGAAGGGCATCTTGGCTCTTTCCAGTTTGGAGACTGTGGACATTGCTGCTATGAACATTGGAGTACCTATGGCCTTTCTTTTCACTATATCTATATCTTTGGGGTAAATACCCAGTAGTGCAATTGCAGGGTAATAGGGAAGCTCTATTTCTAATTTTTTGAGGAAACTTCACACTGTTTTCCAAAGTGGCTATACCAACTTGCATTCCCACCAACAGTGTAAGACAGTTCCCCTTTCTCCACATCCTCTCCTACATTTGTTCTTTCTTATCTTGTTAATCTTTGCCATTCTAACTGGTGTAAGGTGGTATCTCAATGTGGTTTTTATTTGAATTTCCCTGATGGCTAGTGATGATGCACATTTTTTCATGTATCTGTTAGCCATTTGCATGTCTTCTTTGGAGAAGTGTCTGTTCATGTCTTCTGCCCATTTTTTGACATGATTATCTGTTGTGTCTGTGTTGAGTTTGAGAAGTTCTCTATAGATCTTGGATATCAGCCCTTTATCTGTACTGTCATTTGCAAATATCTTCTCCCATTCCGTGGGTTGCCTCTTTGTTTTGTTGACAGTATCCTTTGCTGTGCAGAAGATTTTGATCTTGACATAGTCCCAAAACTTCATTTTCACTTTTGTTTCCCTCGCCTTTGGGGACGTGTCTTGAAAGCAGTTGCTGTGGCCAATGCCAAAGGGCTGACTGCCTATGTTCTCCTCCAGGATTTTGATGGATTCCTGTCTCACGTTGAGGTCTTTCACTATTTTGAGTTTATCTTTGTTTATGGTGTAAGAGAATGGTCGAGTTTCATTCTTCTATACATAGCTGTCCAATTTTCCCAGCACCATTTATTGAAGAGACTGTCTTTTTTCCACTGTATATTTTTCCTGCTTTGTCGAAGATTACCTGACCATAGATTTGAAGAACTTTTAAGTTGTTTGATATGTCAGTTTGTGTGTATGTATGATGTAACAAATATCCCCAAATTAGCCATTATAAGGAAGGTCTTAAGGAATAATTATTAAATTATGAATTTCCAAATGTACTTTTTTGAGGAACTATTCCAAGCAAAAAGTCCAGAGTAGAGATCTGAGTAAAGTTTAAAGTTCAACTACAGATATAGAAAATGTTCTGCATCTTTCTTTCATGAGAATTTCCTTTCTGAAATAAATCAAAATGATTTATTTATTTCAAATGCTATCTCTTTTGAAAACACCTCAGTATATTGATAATTACAGAAATTATTTCTATTTATACACTGAAACACAATGATTACATCTGAATACTTTATTTATTTCTATATTATTTTTCTTTTAAAGATTTATTTATTTATTCCAGAGTGGGGAGGGAGAGGGGAGAGAAAGAGGGACAAAATCCTCAAGCAGACCCTATGCTGAGTATGGAGCCACAGGGGGCTGGATTCTAGGTACCTTAGATCATGACTTGAGACAAAATCAAGAGTCAGATGTTCAACAAATTGAGCCACCCAGGCACCCTTATATTCTTTTTCTTAAATACATCTTAGACATGTTTTTCACCTTGTCCTCTAGTCAGACTAAAAGGTATCCTAAAGAGTAGCCACGCAGCCAAGTCATCAGGTCTTATAGGAAATTAAATGTGATGAATTAGAGATTTTTTTGTTCAAATGTTTTTAGTTTTATCTCCTATTTAATATTCATGCTTTTCACCCTTGTTTACACATATGACATTGTAAAAGTTAATATTAGCAAATGTGTAATACTATTGTTCTACAAATCTTTTTGAGAGAGTACATAAAAGGATATGTAACATTTCACTCTATAAAAAACAATTCAAGTCTTAAATCCCTAGTGAGGAAATAAAATTCCATTTATAAATCAATACCTATCTCATACCTGGAAGAAAACCTACAACTAACAAACTAAGATATGAAGGCATTCGGGTGTGGGGGATGGGGTGTGGGAATCAGAATATGCAAGAGAAATATACAAACAAGAAGATTTGCTATGGAGGGGAAGATGGCTGTGGAGTAGCAGGAGACTAGGCTTACCTCCTCCCATGAATACAAGTAGATAAATACCAATTCATCCTAAATACTCCAGAAATCGATCTGAAGACTAGCAGAACGAACTCTACAACTAAAGGTGGAGAAGAGACCACCTCAGAGAAGGCAAGAAGTGCTGAGACACGGTTTGGGATAGAAACAGATCATGGCCACCATGGTGGGGAGGGAGCCAAGGTCATAGAAAAGGGCAAGATACAGAGCAGCACAAAGAGGAGTTCACATGGGAAAGATGGATCCTTGTAGTGACTGGCTTCATAAGCCAGAGCACATTAATTTCTTTTTTTTTTTTTTTTAAAGATTTTATTTATTTATTTGACAGAGAGATCACAAGTAGGGAGAGAGGCAGGCAGAGAGAGAGGAGGAAGCAGGCTCCCTGCCGAGCAGAGAGCCCGATGCGGGGCTCGATCCCAGGACTCTGAGATCATGACCTGAGCCGAAGGCAGCGGCTTAACCCACTAAGCCACCCAGGCGCCCCATAGAGCACATTAATTTCATGAGTTCTTGAAAATAGTGGGACTTAAAGCCTGTTGTTTTATAGGTTATCGGGTTTGGCTCTGGGAGAGCATGCAAAGCGTTGGGGCTGCTCTTTAAAAAAAATCAAGGCAAACAGCTCATAGACATATGGCATAGAAACTGATCTCAAGAACGCCTGAGGCACACAGTGGGGAGCTTATCTGCCCATCTCAGAGTGTGTCCCAGAGAGACAGGATTCATGGAAAGACCTATATGTGAACAAAGTAACTGGCAGCTGCCATTTCCCTCACAGACCCATCTGCATAAGCACAGGGTCACCTATGGGAAACAGTATAGCACCAGAACTTACTACCTAAATTGCTTATACCACATCCTACCCCATTGTGCTCAGATGGAACTGACCTTCCACATCACACTTACCTCAGTCCCAACACAGCAGTTCTTTTCCCTCAGACCAGCCCAAACTCCTGCCAACACTGCATCTCCTGACCCAGGAGTTTTGCGGGACCTGGATTCCAGTGGCAGTGACAAAATACCTCATTTCACAAGCAGACCAGAGCACAAATAGTTAAAGCTGACCACAACAGGCCAAGGACCAAAACTGCTGACAACAGGAGAAGACAGCATCTACAAAAGATGGGCCTAAAGAATAAAGTGGACAGCACACAACAGCAGAGTGCATGTACCACACATTAGAAAAACTCACTGACGTGCCAGAGCCTGGGGAAAAGGGGACACTACACTGAAGGGTACTACAAGGATTTCTTCTTCAAAAGGTCAATACCCCCAAAAGAGGAGACATAGCTGACTTTCCCAACACACAGAAAAAGACAGAGAGAGGCAAACAAAATGAGAAGTCAGAGGAACTTCTTCCAAATGAAGAAAGAGGACAAAGCCACAGCAAGAGGTCTAAGCAAAACAGATATAAGTAACATGTGTGACAGAGAATTTAAAGTAATGATTATAAAGATATGTACTGGACTTGAGAAAAGAGTGGAAGATATAAGTGAGACACTTAAAAGATAAGGAATAATATGCCAGAGATAAAGGATTCAATAAACGAAATGAATAATACACTTAACAGAATGAACAGCAGTCTGGAAGAAGCAGAGGAACAAATCAATGACCTAGATGACAATAATGGAAAGTAGTCAAGCTAAACAAAAGAGAGAAAAAAGAATTAGGTAAAAGAATTATGGAGGTCAGTGACTCCATCAAACATAATAAAATTCATATTATGGGAGTCCTAGAAGAAAGAAAGAAAGAGAGAAAAGAGGGCAGAGAATATATTTGAAGAATTAATAGCTGAAAACTTCCCTAATCTGGGGGAGGAAACAGAAACCCAGGTCCGGGAGGCACAGAGAACCCCCAACAAAATAAAAAAAAAAAAAAAGGCAGATCCACACAAAAACATATTATAATTAAAATGGAAAAATACAGTGATAAATAAAAAGAAAATTAAGTCAGCAAAACAAATGAAGATAGTTTCACATAAGGGAAATCCCTTAAGGCTATCAGCAGAATTTTTCAGCAGAAATGTTACAACAAAAAGGGAGTGGCATGATATACTCATAGCGCTGATTGGGAAAAATCTTCAGGCAAGAGTACTCTATCAAGCAAGGTTATTTCAGAATAGGAAAGCTAAAGAGTTTACCAGACAAATAAAAACTAATGGAGTTAATGACCAATAAATCAGCTCTGTAAGAAATATTAAAAAGAATCTTTGAGTGGAAAGGAAAGACCGTAAGTGACAGTATCAAGTAGGAAATACAAAAGCAGTGAAAATGAATACTTCTGTAAGAAATCAGTCAAAGAAAACACAAAATAAAGGAACACCATATACCTAAAACGTGGGCAGTAAAGAATGGATTGACTCTTAAATGACCATCAACTTAATATAGACA